GCGCCTCGACAACTCAAAGTGAAGATTTATTTTGAAATACAGAACAAGGCCTCGACAACATTCCTTCCTTAAGTCCTTTGCTATTCCAAGGAAATCCTCTAAGATTTGAAAAAACGCGAGACACTCTTAATGTGTATAGTGTGCACTAATGGCACGACGACCCGTTCGTTAGTGGCGTACTGATGGCTAGTTCCGCCGTCGCGTAAGGGTTAAATTCGCAGAAGTCATCTCCCCAGTTAAGCGTGTACTTATGTGTGCACTACTGTATTTAGATACTGTTTAAATAAAAAAATATTATACGTTTTAAGTGTGAAGAGAGAAGAAAATTGGTTTTGCTTCTGGTACGTGGAAGATGGTAGTTTTATTTCATTTAGATTTCCCGTTTCACTCGAATCGATTCTCTCGAAGAATATTGTAAGGTGTGACAGAGGCGAGAGAAATAGTAGACACTTGTTGCGGAAGGAAGAGGAAGAATGGAATTCTCCTTCGTCTTGTACAATTGTATCTTCCCTTTCTTAACCGTTGCGCTAGGGCTGAGCTAAACGTGGAATTGTATCGTTCTAGCGCAGAGATTCTATGTTGGATATTAATTAACGATGGTAATAATAGTTAGGGATTATTGTTTCGCCGTTTTCTATCAGGCAATTCGTTGAATTTATGTTAGTATTGAGTAATGAGTGGGTAAATTATACAAGGTGTTACGTGAGTGGTGGTAAAATAGAAGCGGGAAGGTGATGATTTTCAAATTTTCAGGGGTAGTTGATAATTTTGTGAAATTAAACTCTGTGAAATTTCAGCTTTCTATTTCAAACGGTTTTCGAGATATTTAATGTTCAAATTTTGGAAAGCAACTATAGCGACTCTTAGTACTTAAAGGCTTAAATCATAATTTTCTACAGGAACTGTCCTTCATTATCGTATCACATTATCGCTTAGCGAGAAGCCACTGTAGTGACGTATAATACCTAAAGGGTTAAATCATATTTGTCCATCTAAATTGTCCATCGTTATCATATCACTTCTTATTACTACACAAGTATGGCATATTTGTCTCAGAATATTTCTTCTCAAGAAGCCACCGTAGTGACGTATAATACTTAAAGAGTTAAATCATTGTCCATCGTTATCATATCACTTTTTATCGTCACAAAAGTATGGCATATTTGTCGCAGAATATTTCTTCTCAAGGAGCCACTATAACAACGTGTAATACTTAAAGAGTTAAATCATTGTCCATCATTATCATATCACTTTTTATCGTCACACTAGTATGACACATTTGCCTCGGAATATTTCTAATCGAAAAGCCACTGCAGCCACGTATAATACCTAAAGGGTTAAATCATATTTTCCCGAATAAACTGTCCATCGCTATCGTATCACTTTTTACCGCCACACGTGATATCTGTTTCTTGCCGGAGAAAAACAGATTTACCGTGATCCGAAGGAAACACAGGAGACAAAGTGTTGCTCGAGCAAAACGGGTTCATCTGAGAACGAGAGGGAATAACAGATTTATCCGAGGGATTCCCTGTTACGTATTCGGGTCGCGTTCGCCAACGATCCGTCTAGCCGCGTTAATTTTTTTCGCCGCGCACTCTTCCGACAGAGGGAAGCCGGAAACAAGGCAGGTGACGTCCCGTGCAGGAACGTCCGGAACGTGAAACAAAATTTACAACGGTGTCTCACCCTCTATCTATCTATCTACCCCTTCTCTCTCTTTCTCTCTCTTCGAGGTTTGTGAAAGCGTGTAAAAAGGAAACGTACTTGAAAGCCAAAGGGATATTTCAGGATTTCACGGCGACGCGGCTAACAAAGTGCCTGGCGGCTGTCCCGTTGAAATAAAAGCCACCTAAACGCAATTCCCGCGGCTCGTTTTTACGGTTATTCGCGGGCGGCGATCAACGTCGCGCCCCTTTTGCCGCGCGTAACCGCGAATAATAGAAAGTTTCGACTTGAAGCGGAGGCGAGGAACCACCTGCCTCGTCGTAAAATAAATATGCAAGTTTTACGGGGGGATTTTACGGTGAAACGTTCACGAGGTAAACGAGAAAATTGGGTATTTCTTGCGGGAAGTTAAAAATGAGGGGGAAATCAAGGGGTCGAGGTTGAGTCAATTTTGGGTAAATCGGGAATTAGATACTTGTGGAGAATTGGAGAAAATAGGGGAGAGTCGAGATTGAGGTTATTTTCAAATGCACAAAAAATTAGAAACTCGAATTTCTAATACCTTTCTCACGGAAAATTAGAGAAAACAGAATAAAATGAAGGAAAATCGAAGAGTCAGGGTTGAGTCGATTTTGAGTACGTGAGAAATTAGGGAAAATAAAGAAGAGTCGAGATTGAGGTTATTTTCAGGTACAGAAAAAAATTAGAAACTCGAATTTTGAATACCTTCTCTACGGAAAATTAATGAAAATATAGAATAAAGGAAAATGGAAGAGTTAAAGTTGAGAGAATAATCCTCCGAGAGTTATTTTCGAATGCACAAAAAATTGGAAATTTAAAATTTTAATACCTTTCTCATGGAAATTTAAAGAGAAACGAAAGAGCGAATGTTGAGTAAATAATTGGCCAGTAGCTATTTCCAAGTACATTATAAACTTGAACATTTAATATGATTTTGCTGCACTTAACCGCCGTTTAACGTAAGATGGCAAATTGACAAATTTTCCCCGAGACGGCGAGTATTTAAGTTGACGTAAGGAAGGTGCGAGGGCGTGTGGCTCGCTTAACGGAGCGCCCGAGGAAGTAGTTACATCGTGATTTAAAGGAAAAAGTGGAGCGAGGTCTGCCGGTGTTTTTGTCATTTTAATGACACTGTTGCCGAGGTCGCAACCTCCGGGAACCACCTCGGGAACTTTCGCCGTGCAAACTCGAAAAACTCTCTCTGTTTCTCCCTATCTCTCCCTCCTCTCTCTCCGCTGATTTTCTCTTTCTTTGTTTCTCTCCTCTTCTCTGTATCTCCTCTCTGCTTTCTTTGTTTCTATCTTCTTCCCTCTCTCTCTCTCTCTCTCTCTCTCTCTCTCTCTCGGTTTATCTCTTTCTCTCTTCCTCTCTCTATCTCTCTCTTTTTCCCTTCCTCCGCTCTCGCTCTCTCTCTCTCTCTCTTCGTCACTGTATCTCTCTCGATTTTTCTCTCTCTCCGTTTCTCTCCCTCTATCTCTCTCTGTTCTTCTCTCTTCCTCTCTTTCTGTCTCGGTTGACAAACGACACGATCGATTCCCTACCCGCTCGGTCCTCTCTTGTTCCGCGAGGATTTCACGCGGAACAGAAACTCGTTAAAACTCGATCACGTTGTATACGTACAAATATACAATGCACATACTTATATTACGAGTGCGACGTTCGACGCGATAAAAATTAGCACGCTCGGATAAATATTCATAAGCCAACCGCGGTTCCGGACACGCTATATACCTTCTTGCGATCATCGATAAGTGTGCAAGCGTTTGCATGAAATTAGACCGGTGGACATTGATGAACATTTTAAACCTTCCCCCCTCTCTCTCTTTCACTCTCTATTATTACTATTACACGTTGTGCTAAAAAGCTTCCACTTTTTTACCGATAAAAAATTCACCGTGACAGAAACGAATTGCATGCTATTCACACGGTACACACAAGCAAAGGAAACAGAAAAAGACGTGATTTATTCGAGTACTACTCTTACTTTTTCACTGTGAAAAAATTCGTCGAGAACTTCATTTTCTTCGCCCAGAATTTCGTCAAAGAGAAACGAAAAGAACGAGAACATTACGAAAATAGAGATAAAGACGGTAGATTCCATAGGAAATCGACGATCTTAGAAGATCCATCGGGAAACTTAGCTCTTCGTCTTTCTCCCTGCAGATTTTTACTTTCCACCGTCGGCGAACAGCTCACGATGTAAAAACTTGGCCAAAGGATGAAGCTTAACGAGATTCTGAATGATTTACATGCGAACGAAAAGCGGCGAAACAGATAAACGATACTTAGGAAAAAGAAAGAAAGAAAAAAAGATCGACGCTACCCTTCTTCGTGCGGAATTACACCAGTTTTGAAATTCAAATTCCGCCGGAGCTCCTCCGGTTAAAGAAGTTACGATGAATTCACACGAGGGGTTGAAACACGGTAGTTCCAAAAGATTTATGCGATTAACGATAAAAATGGGACGTTCAATTCGCGTGACTTTGCTCCGAGATGAATTTCCAACGATAAACCGTGTTTCTCTTAATCGCAGATCCTCCTGTTCCTTTTTCCCTTTATTTCTATTTTCGACCTGGCCTGATTTATCGGTGAGAGAAAAAAGACTGTTCGCGGTGATTAAAACGATCGTTTATTATAAACCAGGAGATCTGTTCGTGGTGGTGTTCAGTCTGGACTGTCGAGAATCGTTCGAGGAGGCCATCAGACTGCGAGAATCGATCCTGGAGACTAAAGTGAGCGCGACCCAAAGCGCCACGAAGAGCAGAAGCAAGAGTCACTTCAACCTGAAGGTTCCTATGGTCATCGTCGGAAATAAATGTGATAAGGATGTAAAGTACGTGCACCGTACATGGGTTAATTAACGTGTAATTAACGATACTGCATGTTAGCTACGTAACATCGTGTCATTTTTTTCATTATTTTTTAACAAACGTTAAAGTTGAGAGTTTGCTGGATTTTTGTATTGAGAATATTCGAATTTTCTTGTATTTCAACGAGCATATTTTTTTTTTAGAGGAAAATTTCTCTTTTTTTTCGGTACTGTTTGGTGTGTTTAAAGTTTCGTGTAAATAATATTAATCGCGATTATACGCGGTTTCAAACGGTGTATTTCGTGGAAATGAAATTATTTCAGTAGCGTTTCGTAATATTAATACGGAGAAAGGAGATTGCGAACACGTTGTTCCACAGAACAGTTACAGTGGAGGAAGCGGAGGAGTACTGCAATAGTCAGGATGATTGCTGCGTTTTTGTGGAGGCGTCAGCTAAGAGGAACTACCACGTGGAGGAGCTTTTCTACCAGCTGTTCATTGTAGCTGGTCTACCCTTGGAAATGGCGCCCAATCATCACAGAAAGGTCCCCCTCACTTTTGGCTCTCCGACTATGTTACCACCGTCACAGGTAAATTCTGACAAAAGTCTCCTCTGATTAAAAAACCCCAACCTTTGTATTTTAAGTTTCCTTCGATTCTCTGGGAAAATTCATTTCTCTTGGATTCGAATGTCTCAAGAATTCTCTGTAAGGAAAATTCATTTTTCTTCGATTCGAATATTTCGAGAATTCTCTGGGAAAATTAATTTTCCTTCGATTCGAATATTTCAAGAATTCTTTGTAAAAATTAATTTCTCTTCGATTTGAATGTCACAAAGGAAAATTATCTCTGGGAAAATTCATTTCCCTTGGATTCGAATATCTCGAGAATTCTCTGGGAAAATTCATTTCTCTTGGATTCGAATATCTCGAGAATTCTCTGGGAAAATTCATTTCTCTTGGATTCGAATATCTCGAGAATTCTCTGGGAAAATTAATTTTTCTTCGATTTGAATATCTCAAGAATTATCTGTAAAAATTAATTTCTCTTCGATTTGAATGTCACGAAGGAAAATTATCTCTGGGAAAATTCATTTCCCTTGGATTCGAATATCTCGAGAATTCTCTGGGAAAATTCATTTCTCTTGGATTCGAATATCTCAAGAATTCTCTGGGAAAATTAATTTTCTTTCGATTCGAATATCTCAAGAATTCTCTGCGAAAATTCATTTCTCTTCGGTTCGAATACCTAAGAATTCTCTAGAAAAATGAATTTTCTTTCGATTCGAATATCTCAAGAATTGAAGCAACGAGATCTCGAGGTGCAAAGGGACGAAACGTTAGCAACTATTCCGTAACCTAACCTTTCGAAATGGACGAATTCTGTAAAAGACAATATCCCTAAGGAGGGACATTTAGCGTACGTTAGAAGTCGCGGAGAGGTTCTCTCAGAAACTTGTTCATTTCACGGTACTCGACTCGAAGATTCAAAACACCGGAGGGAGGCAAGGCACTTTGGAAATTTCCGCGACGTGAACTAGAGCGAACGGAAGACGTCTTGCGATGCGAGGGAGGGATGTAAATAACTCTTAATTTTGAAAGCGTTGTAACTGTACTATGGCGGTTGGATATGGCAAGGGGAAATAAATAGAGAGAGGATAGGTGGAAGAGGAAAGAAAAAACCGTTTCGTACAGGGTTTCCTAATGGACTCATTAGTAAAGCTAGCTAGGAAACCCGTGCTTCAGACGCGGGGAACGCACGGTGTTTCGAGTATACGAGTTTCAGGAACAAAAGGCATAACTTAGCGTTTGTTCAAAATTTTTAATTCGATTAAAAGAGGGTAGATATCAAAAATTATTATAGTACAACGTTAAAGTAAAAGAGTCACTTAGAAATTGATACACTTTTGCATAGAAAATTAGGGCAATTCGTTACTATTGCATTAAAACTATTCTCCTATTTTAAAAATATTTGAATATTGAATTCAACTTATAAATGTCAAATGAAATTCTCCAATATTCTGCCAGTAAAATATATTTGAAATCTATTTTATTAAAGATTAAAAAACCTTAGCCGTGTTATTATTTGAGGCTTCCGGGTGTACACCGTGTCCAAAAGAAATTATATTCCGACGTTTCACCAGCATTGCAGCTTCATCAGGGTCTGGAGACGCACTGATAATGGTGCGCGTCAGGGTGTTCACTCCTATAAGTACCCATGTTCGTTTAAATCAATTAAGAAATTAAGAATCACAATGACGCACACCATTATCAGTGCGTCTCCAGACCCTGATGAAGCTGGCTGCACTGCTGGTGAAAAGTCGGACACGGAGTACACCCGGAAGCCTCAAATAATAACACCCGTATCGATCCGGGCCATGAAAGTCTCAAAACTCTCGTTAAAAAAGCTAAAATTGAAGGTAAGTAAAAGTTAAAATTTCAAGAATTTACGGATTACACGTTTGAAATTTTTAATTTTTGTCCATTAATCGAAAGGAAACAAGAAACAACTCACCGCCGCAGTAGAATTTTCAAAATCCACAGCAAGTGTGCATTAAATCTTCAAAATGATTACGTCTTTTCCCTCAACCCCTCGACGTATCATTTCTTTTCTTAACTGTGCATCTAAGCGTCACCTTTTTCCTCTTTTACTGCTATATTAAACAAAACAAGCGAATATATCACAGACTAATAACATTTGTTTGAATTAACCCTTCGGCACTCTACTAAAATTGTAAATTACGATCAAAAATATTCACATTTCACAGGTATTTTCCTAATAATTACGTCATGGACTACGTCATAGTTATAACAATAACGTCTCGTTCCATTCTAACTGTCTTCCTAACAGTCTCTCTCGAGCTAAACAGTTATTCTGCATATATAAACGCTTCACCCGAGTCTCACACAGAATAAACAGTCAAAGGGTGAAAATACACAACACATTCACACCAAATCTTGACCAAAATCAGTACCACGAGTCCTCGTTATCACGCATCAAGGGTTCGACGATAACGCCTCGTCCGAGCGTGCCTCTTCCCGCCGTAACACCCCTGAAAGAGCGACAATTTGTTTTCAGCCAAGGCACAAAGCTACCCTGAGCATAAAGCGACGTCTGAGCGATGCCTGCGGCGTCGTTGCTCCGAACGTGCGTCGTCCAAGCATCAGAACCGATCTGATGATCATGAGGACGAAAACCTGCTCCCTTGCAACTGGTAACGAGAACAACGCTCCTGGATCGAGAATCACCTTGCGCACCTCCGACGCCAGAAAAACGTGCTCCATTCAGTGATACCTCCCGGAAATCCTCCCGAAACTGATTTCGTCTACATAGATGAGTAATAGGAATATCAACTTGTGTACGATCCTCGCTGAGATAACTCCATTCTAATCGGCGTATGAAAGTTATCGCCAAGTAAATTCGTACGATTCTCTCGGTTCACTATTCGGCGAATAGTTCTCGAAAGCGGCGTTAATTGCGGCACGGTGAAGTGAAACGAGATGGATAGGGAAAATTGCGACATATGGAAGGTCTGTTTTAACGATGGAAAGAGGCAATCTAATATCGCGTTTTTACGTTGCACGCGGAATAGAAACGTCGGGGGAGAAGAGCGAGGATCGTCGATGGAGGGGAAACGTTTCAAATCGACCACGCTGCTCGCCTTAATTAATTAAAAGGAATAGCTCTAGAATAGCGTCCCGGAAGTAACATATATTATTAAAGTAAGGAATACAAAACGGTGGGGACACGTCGATCGAGTTCTTTCGGCTGAAGAATCGCGGCTGGAAAAAGGAGGGAGAGAACGTTTCACGTGATAAACTTCTGGAGCTTTTTTGGAGCGTTATCTGACCAGTCGATCATTTTTATCTGTGAAAGAGGTAATTAAACTGTTCCTTCTTTTCTTCTGTTTCTGTTGGACTGTCGAGTGAGCAACTTTTCATTCATGAACTCGAAGGGGATGATTCCAACACGTTGGATCATTAGCGACCTGCGCTTCCAAGATTGGTGAAAGCATTTAATTCGTCAGATTTTCAGTTTAATCTTCAGTTTAGTTTCCATGTTTACGTAATTTTATTTCGTAACTGTTCGCATATTATTCACGCATATTGGGATGTGTTTTGTTCAAATAAAAAATTAATTTCGGCGCCGTGGACGAGTTATGTAGAATTGATCCGGCATTCGACGTGTTGAAACAGTTTCAAACGAGACTCTTCACGATTCCGAGTGAGTTTTAAGGACAGTATCGGGTTTTAGGGATGATTAGCGTTTGCGAGAAATGATCGACTGATCGTGACACATCGTTGAATTCTATTTAAGCATGATTGTCAAGCCGGTACGAACAAAAAGATACGGCATACGTGTATATAGTTAATTTATTCGTATGAAACGAGATGGCACACAGAATTGTAAGAGCATTCGAACGCGTTCGATCAATCGTAGCAAAGCTTCGAGTTCACTTTGAATATCCATTCGGAGGCTGTCGATAAATCTACTATCTTCCATTCGTAATTATAATACTTTTAACGCGTCTCAAACTGACGAAAAGTTCGTTCGTCTTTTCCAAAAGAAAGAAAGTGGAAAAAGTAAAAAAAAATGTTTCAAAACTCGATACGCTTTTCGAATCGTATTCAATCTGTCGTTCGAACGCTTGCGTTGTAATTAACAGGAAGAAATTTCGAATACACTTATCCCTCGCGACACTCTACGCATACAAGCGGCTGTTGATGAATTAAAAGCGGAATGGAAAGAAAAATTTAAAAAAAAAAATAAACTGCGCATCTTTTCGTAAAACTCACCCCTGATTTTCTCGGACCAAAAAGAAACCTTTCGTTCTCTTGTAATAAATGCGTAAATGATCGATTGTGCGTTCTTCTTTTTTCCCAAAAACAAAAACGACGTTCTTTTTCTCTCGTCGTAAAGAGAGAGAAAGAAAAGGAAGGTAATTTTGAAAAAAAAATATAAAAACGACACTCTTTTTCTCTTACAGTAAAGAGAGAGAAAAGGAAGATTAATTTTGAAAAAAAAAAAACAAACACGACTTTTTCTCTCGTCGTAAAATGAGAGAAAAAAGGAAGATAATTATACAGAAGTTAACAGCGTCGCTTTTCTCCCTACGTTCCCCATTTGAAATACCAATGACACAAAGAGTAATCTCTGGAGAGTTAAGAGAGACAGAGAGAGGTTGTTAGACTCTTTGTATGTAATTACCAGTCTCCCGACGAAACGGACGAACGTCGCGGGTATTTAAAAAACGTCGCGCGACTCGAAATCGGGCCACACTCTTCGTCTATTTATGCGGTTCGCGCGACGGTCATTTCCGAGGCAACGTCCCGGCGACGCAATGAAAAGACATTTTTTTTACAGAACTCTCCCGGCAGATTAATTAGCCCTTCACAAAAGAAACTTCCCCAAGGATCCGTGACGAGTCTCGGGGTAAGGCGAATTATACCGTTAATGCGTTAATTCATTTCCCAACCGGGGAGCTTCCATCTTTTTCCCACCCCATTTACCATTTTTTACGTGTCAAGCTCGACTTGCCTAATTTTTTTCACTGCGAATTATCTCCGTGCAACACTGTTGAAATTCAATCGACACTCTGCGAAGTTTGTCGAATAGGAGATGAAATTTTATTGCTAGGATGTGTTACACACTGGACTATGATTGAAGTTTATTTAAATCGAGTTCACCCGCCGTTCTAACTCTCAATTAGAGTTGAATAAAGGAATTATTAGTCGTGAGCGTCACTCCTGCCAGATGACATTTTAATCCACTTTAACGGCGCTGATTTAACCGGCTTAATCGGCGTCTGAGAACGGCTCCGCGCTGAGAGAGACCCACTCTCTGCACGAACACCTCTCCTCTTCGTACTTAACGCTGGCTAATTGATCTTTCTTCCTATCGTATCGAGATAAGCCGTCGTTGAGAATTTTTAGTTGAAATTGTCGAGGAAAATATGGAATGGAAAGTTTCTTAACCCTTTCTCTACGAAACACGTGTATATCCGGTTGCAGAACAGATCGCCTAGTTATCTTCTCCAGTTATGGTGGCACGAGACTATTTTCATCCACAATTTAAACGTTCTCAAAGGACGAACAAGATGGAATACAAATATTTTTAGAAAAAGTTCCACATTTCGTCTGAAATTTTAGAGTCCGTCATTTTGAGGTTATGTTTAATATCTGCTACAATGCACAATAGAAAAATATATGCATTCCTGTAAAAAAACATAGGTGACTTTAAAAAAAGAACAGAAGAAAATGACATTTGCAAATAAATTTTTCTTCCATCTTATTTACCCTTTGAGGCCATTTAAACTGGGTACAAAAATTGTCCCGACATCGGGACCACAGCTGGAGAAGATAATTAGGTGATCTGCTTCACGTGGACGATCGTGTTCTCATAAATAAAATATCGCTGTCCACTGAATCGCCGTTCCATTGTTGTGAATCACTTAATTCTCAATCGTACGTGTTTACTTTCATGCCAACGTTGAATAATAACTGTTTCGTCCAGTACACAGAGAGCACTTTTTCCCTGAAACGTGTCTAAAGGGTTAAAAGAGAAAAAAAGGTTACATTTCCTTAACAACTCTTTAAGTTAGCAATTTCTGAGAGCAATTACAATTGTTCACAAATCTATTCTAGGTAGAAGAAACTTCGTCTAAAACTGCAACTTCTTATCTGAACCGAGTGGTCCTCTTTGTTCCCGGCAGTTCACTTGGGTATTCATTGAGGAAGGGCCGTTATCGAGGATTAATCGTTCACAAGGTCCCGTTGGACAAAGATCTCCTCCTCGGGAGAGAACGATTTCTCGTGCAACACTTCGAGATAACGAACTTCCTCGAGGAATTTCAACGTCTATTTAACTGCAAATTACGGTGTACCGAATAATATTAAACAGCGGCTTCCTAAGGGGAGAAAATTTCGAATATACGAGAAATTCTTGGATTCGAAGATTTCGAGATACAGAAATCGTTGACTGAAAAGAGGTACGAAGTTAGTGTCCCCAACCAAGATGGCGCCGGCCTTAAGTATCGAGACTCAGGCGTGGCAGAACTCATTAGAAGGAGTTTCAGTACAGAGAGTACGAGGTGACCGCAAAATTCCAGACGTGCGGAATGTTTAATTAAACTCCATCGAGAACTCGAAGAATTTCAGACGAGGCGTCGCAAGGCTTGTGCATGACGCGTGTGTGTCTCTTTCATTGTCAAGAGGAAGGAAGGGTAACGTCGAAGGAGACAACAGTTTTTCCCGCGTACGAGACACATAATTAATTCTGATTTCTCCGTTGCAACGGTGTTTTAATTAAAGTACCGCTGTCACTCCGGCGAGAAAGACGGCATGTTCGTTTTGAACATGTTGTTTGTACGTGTATTCGCGGCACGGGCTGCAACGATGTCGATCATTCATTTCGGTGTAATCAACGTCGTTTTTCATAAACGGATACGATTCGTCGTGCAAGTAGGTACTGCTCGTAAATTAGCGAGATCGGCGAATAAAACTTTATTATCCCGAAACTCTCGCGTGCACAGAGCAATATCATTGACAATGGGAAAACGAATTCCCTTTGTACCTGTGTAATTAGACGCGCGATTTTCGAGAGAACGCCCTCTGGTGCTTGTAATTTATTGCCGATTCGTTTTATGTAGAATGTTTCGTTAAGTGAAAGAGGCCTTTGGTAATAGGAGAAAGGACTGTACATAAAAATTTTAATTCAGAAATTTAAATTCTGTTAATCAAATCGAAATATGCAAATTCGAACTGTGAAATTCAGCCAATCAAATTCAAGGAAATCAAATTTAAATATTAAAATTTTTAAGTTTAAATTTAGCCAATGAAATTCAAAATATTCAAGATTTAAATTCAGCCAATCAAATTCTATATAGGTACTCAATTTTAAATATTCATATTTTAAAATTTGCCAATCAAATTCAAACTACCGAAGACTTAATTCAGCCAATCAAAAACAAGCTACTGAAGATTTAAATTCGGCCAATCAAAAACAAGCTACTGAAGATTTAAATTCAGCCAATCAAAAACAAGCTACTGAAGATTTAAATTTAGCCAATGAAAAACGAGCTACTCAAATTTAAATATTCAAGTTTTTAAATTTACGTTCAGCCAATCAAATCCAAGCTATTCAAATTTGAGAACGGTATATCTGAAATATTGCAGAAGCACATTTTCCCTTATATAATACTTGGGAAACAATACATTCTCATATCTCCACGCCTCCGACAACTTCGGGCAACTTTCGCATATAAAGGCAAAGTGTATTTCCAGAACACGGCCGGAAAAATGGTAAGTTTGCACGGGGCGTAAGCAATCTGCGGGAGCATTTGCTCCGTTGGTTACACGTGATGAAGGGGAACAAGGTAGAAATCACTTTTCATACGATCGCTAGGCGAACACTCATGGGAACGATGGAAACGATTTCACTGGTGAAACAGAAAGGGAGAATTTCATTTTAACTGGTGTGGAAATTCGAGAGCAGTCCGCGGCTCTAACGAACCCCCAGACATGAGTATTCCCAACGGAGAAATAAATAGGAGATATCTTGAAGCGCGGCTGCGATAACCGCGAACGAGCTGTGAAATTTCGCTCTACGAACATCCCGCCATCTGAAATTCCCCTCTACTGTACCGCGATAATACGTCAGGGAGCCAGCTGAATTATCGTTCCCTTTCCCTGCTTATGCTGCAAGATGAGAATTTCACCTTGGCTATTTATAATCGTGAATTCGTAATCACTGGACCTTTGTTAATGGACACCCCTGGCTTATAGTCAAGGCTGATTCTCATTTTCTCATTGCAACCCTCGTCTTGTTTCTCTTATCTAGACTTGTCCGAGGAGGGGTTAGGATAGACTCGTTAAAGCTTTAGTCGTTTCACTTTTATTCTGAATGACACTTCCTCAGTTAAATTGTGCAATTTAATATGGAAATTTTATTGTTATTATTATCGGGTAGGTACGGACCGAGATTACGTAAGATATGAATACAGTTCTTATATTCATAAATTCGTTTCATGTTTATTAATAAAGATTCCTCCTAACCTTAAATAAAGATCGTTATAGCAATCAGTGATTTACGTCACTGTTGGCCTGGCTGGAATACATTATATTCCAACTTGCATGATTTTATTAATCGATAAAGCATGCAAATCAGTGTGATTATAAAAGCTTTTGCTGCATGACTCACGTGCACTAGAAACGCGACACATTTATGAAACTTCGCACTATTCGTAAGAATATGTTTCGTTCGATTGATAATCGTTGCAATCGACAATTAAACCAAGAAAAGAAATTTATCCTTCTTTGTTTTCGTTTAATTTAAACTAAAGCACAATACACATTTTACAGGATTAAAGTAAATTAACCTGCACGATTTCAATCATAAATAAACACGTAAAAAATTCAAACTAAAAAACGGTTGAGTAAGAAATTTATAGATGCGCATGCTCACTACGCATGCGCGCAAGTTGCACCATCGACCTCTCGAGACGTTGGAGTAACCAAATGCGCAAGATCGCGCGCAAGCGTATTACCCACAGGGTTCTCCGCCATGGCTAAGGTAAATTTATCGGGCGCGTATATTTCGCAACGAATCGACCAAAAGCTACATTGAACTTAGCCTTTAAGCCACAAGTCAAGCCGCTTCGCGTCGTTCGTCAAGCTGATGATCAAAATGCTGGCTGTGTGCGGTAAAACAAACATGTAGAACGAGAACCACGCGTATATACACTCAAAGTCCATTCTCGTGTGCGACGTTACACAGCGGGCACGTGGATTTCTCGTCCACGAGTGA